AAGAGGTAATTTTCTCCCTTTCTCACAATATAAGAACTCGTGGGCACTCCATGAAATTGCTGAGCAGTCGGGTTAGAATGGATAAAAGGAAGTACTTCTTCACCCAAAGAGTGATTAACATATGGAATTCACTGCCACAGGAAGTGGTGGTGGCTACAAGCATGGACGGCTTCAAAAGGGAATTAGATAAGCATATGGAGCAGAGGTCCATCAGTGGCTATTAGCCACAAGGTATAGATAGGGGCTCTGGGGCAAGGGATGCTCTGTCTTCTTGGTGCTTGGGAGGGCTTCTAGAGTTCTGGCCCCACTGGTGGACCTCCTGATGGCACCTGGTATTTCTGGCCACTGTGTGACACAGAGTGTTAGACTGGATGGGCCTTTGGCCTGATCCAACATTGGCGTCTCTTATGTTCTTAACAGTAACCTCTTGTCCAGAATACATGTTGTGCATCAAAACAATCAGATGTTGTGGCACACCCATTTCTTTTAAAGCCAACCATAGCTTTTCATGATCCACACAGTCAAAGGTTTTGCTATCTCTCTATGTATTTGCTAACCATGCATCTGTGAAACACAAGCTGATTTTCTTCTGAAATTCTCCTGTATGCTCCAGTAATCGACATACATTTGCAATATAACCTCTAGTACCTCTTCCTTTTCTAAATCAAGCTTGAACATCTGTCATTTCCTGTTTCATATGTGGTAATAGCCTTTGTTGTAAGGTTTTGAACGTCATTTTTCTCAAGTGAGAAATTAATGCAATGGTTCAGTAGTTGCTGCGGTCTTTGACATCTCCTTTTTTCGGAACTGGAACGTACATTGAACATTTCCAGTCTGTGGGCCATTGTTTTGTTTTCTATATTTGTTGGGATAGACTTGTCACAATTTTGATGGACCTGTTTCTGTGGCTTGGAATAGCTCAACTATGGGTGGTAGACTTCCAAGGAAGCCCAGGGTTGCTATGCAAAGGCAGGCAATGGCAAACCACCTCTGAATGTCCCTTGCTTTGAAAACCCCATGCGGGGTCGCCATACGTCAGCTGCGACTTGACAGTACTTTCCACCACCAACGAAGATGTTGAGAATTCATTTCATCCACAAATAGGCTCACATGCATGTTCTCTGCATTGATCATCAGGCCTCGTCAACTCAGTCCGGTAGCCTAATGGATTACTCCCTCCCCAACTCCAGCTGGAGTGAAGACATGATGGAGGAGTTCAAGAAGTTCATGGGGATGTGTGAAGACAGGACGTGGAGAAGGATCCCTTCTCATAGGTACTTGGAGAAGAATATCTCAGGCAAGGGTCTCTTGATTTTTAATTTGCTTGAAATATTTGCCTTCAGGCGTTCCCTTTAATACCTAGATATCCAGAAAACCTAGAACAAAGGCTTTGGTAATGTTTTTGAGCTGCGGTGGCTCAAGTGGTTAAGACGCTGAACTGCAGGCTGTGGAAGGTCGGTAGTTCAGCAGTTCGAGACCCAAGTGTGCCGCATGAGGGAGTGAGCTCCCGTCTCTAGTTCCAGCTCCTGCCAGCCTAGCAGTTCGAAAGCAAGAAATTGCAAGTAGATAAATAGGTACCACTTCGGTGGGAAGGTTACAGTGTTCCGTGCGCCTTGGTGTTTAGTCATGCCAGGGCTCTTTTTGTAGCAGGAACTCCTTTGCATATTCGGCCATGTTGTAAGAATGCACCTGTAGCACTTGTCAGTCTAAACTAACCCTGTATAGTGTTACCTGCACCTCTAGATTCATAATGGTCTGGTGTGTGCCCCTTACCAAGGCGGGTAGAATGTTAAAAGAAAGTTAGCTGGAATGCAACACAAGGTTATTTAAACAATAAAATAGTTTATTAGCTAAAGACATGCAAGCAATACAAAACAGAATACTTACTTCAAAAGAAAAAAAGACAGTCAGTGATTATATATATAAAACAAAGATTCCCCATGCACAGAAAGCTTTCTGGACTGACCCAGGGAGACCACAAAAGACCTCCGAGAGTTAGTGCTGAAATGAAGCTTCTGGCCTTTTTTTATACCATTTTGGTCCCATACATTTCGATAGAGCCATAGAAATTATAAACTGCATAAATTAATCTAACTGCCCTGTTGATTATGGGCCATCATGGCCTAGGAGATGTTCACACATTCCATAGGCAATGGGTCATCCTGCTGCTCCTTTGCAAAACAATGCAAGATAGCATTCAAATCTCTAAATGACAAAGACAAGAATGTTACAATTTCAGGATGTTCTTTGTTTGCTTGACTAAGGGCAGACATTCAGGCACTGTCTGATGGCTGGAGGTGTGTAGTGAGTTTCTGCATGTAGGCAAGCCTTTTAGTCTTGCAAATATCCTGGCTTCCTTGACTTAATGGCAGGGGCATACCAATATTTTTATTTCTAAATGTTTCCAAATTCTTTTGGTCCATGAACAATGAAATGCAGATTTTGGTTCCTGTGTAAGATGGAGGAAAGATATCTTTTGAGACAAAGGCCTAGCAAAATCATGTTGGGGATCATGTTCACTGTGCTGCTTGGAAAGTAACAGAAATAGGAGAGAAAAAACACTATGATTTCTTTATGAAATTAATTGTATAAATGGGGTTGAAATTTTCTGAACCATCTTATTTTTTTCTCTCACAACAGGCCACACCCCCTAATGCAGCCAATCCTCCAAGAGCTTACAGAGCTCTTCTTACAGGAACTACTGTAAGCTCTTGGAGGATTGGCTACATTAGGGGTGTGTCGCTTAATATGCAAATGAGTACCTGCTACAAAAAGAGCCCTGGATGCCGGCCACATGACCACGGAAACGTGTTCGGACAGCACTGGCTCTTCAGTATGACATAACTTCTGGGTTTTCCCTGGAAGTGATGTCACACTGTCGTTACCAGCACTTCCCTGCCCTCTCATAAGAGTATAAGAGAAGCCATGTTCAATCAGACCACTGGCCCATCCAGTCCAACACTCTGTGTCACACAGGGGCCAAAACTCACGTGCCATCAGGAGGTCCACCAGTGGGGCCAGACCTCCAGAAGCCCCTCCCCACTGTTGCCCCCCCAAGCACCAAGAATACAGAGCATCACTGCCCCAGACAGAGTGCTACGGCAGGACTATTTGGAGCTCCACCCCCTTTCTTAAAGGAACAGCCCCACAAGATTTTTTCCCTTAAAAACCCTTTTTAAAGACTTTTAAAAACATTTTTTAAAAGGCACATGCTCCCACGGCGATCTGCGTGCCTATAACAGAGCAAAACAGCCCAGTCTCTCCTATTTCCTGCTTTGCAGGGCAGAGAAAGCCCAGCCTCCTCCTTCCCTCGATTGGTTGAGCGGTCCTCCTCCTCCTCCTCCTCTGGGGGAAGAAAAGAGCCGGGGGGGGGGGGGCGGGGCGTCCCA